CTTCAAACGTTTCTCGTGCTCACAGAGGTGTTGCTTTATCATCACTTGATACGTCAGACTTCGTCGGGGTCGGATGGTTAAGACCGTCTATCGGGACGAGTAGATTCAGGACAGAACGAGCTGACGATAAACAAGAGGACTCCCGGGAATATACAGGTAGTCTTTCCTGCTCTCATCGATGTCGTCGGAGTTCGGGGTCTCAGTCGGTTGCGTATTGAGGCTACTGAAGCGAAAACTCGGAAGAACGTCACGAACTTTTCCCGGAAAGAGGAACGACCGGATGTCGCAGGCGGACTTTCCCTGCCTATCGCACTCAGACGCAGTAGCTGATATCGACCAGAAAATTTCATCTCGGCGGCTTCTGCAATCATTCATGTTTACCATCAACGCATTCAAGCTCGAATCACTCGGTGAGATTGGAGCAACGGATAATTCAGTGGTCCCATCTGAGGCAATCGTCCTCTCTCGTCCTCTCGCAACCCTATTCTGAATTCCAGGGGGCACTCGCAATCCGTCGATCCCGGATTGAATGTCTCACAATTGGGGGTCCTGGTCGGAGCTCAAAATGGTGCCGTGAGCGACGAAGTAGACATTTATTAGGTTCCGTGATCCCCCGAAGTTCCCTCTGCGACTCTCCAATTCAAGAATTGGCATTGCTGCCATGGTGCGTGCTAGTACAGAGCGGTGTGGGGGTTAATCAATCGAAGGAGCACCTTGCTGGAAATCCGAATCGCGCCGGTCTTGTGGCAATGACGGTTTCGGATGCACGGCGGCCGTTCGAAGCGCTACATCGGCGCTCTATCGTCCGTTTTGAGAACCTCTCCGACTTGGCGAGATAAATTTGCCGGTGAATCCTCGTTCGTATACTTGTTGCGTCGATCTGTCTCCTCGGATGGACACGGAATGGATCTCCGTTTGGGGTCGATTCTTCGATTTTTCGTTGATTCGCCGCGATCTCAAAACCTGGTCGGTCCCACGATTGAGCCCATCCATCCTAATTTCGATTAGAGGAATCGTTTGAGAGTATCGAGAAGATCGCAGGTTTCGAGAAGGGTGCGGCACACCGAACTTGGTATATGTGTGTGACAAAGAGTCTCACATCGGTTATAATTGGATACGCACACTTCACGGTGCTAACTGCGGGGACGCATCTGATTTCTCAGTCGCCACCATGAGATGGGCCGAGTCACGAGCCGGAAGAATCGAGAGTTGTTGAAAAATACCTCCAAGATCAGAAATATCCAACTGAGCCCTCTCTCGAGAAACTCGTCGATAGCCTAGACCCGAAGTCAAAGAGCAGAACTCGCGGAGCCCAATAATCATATTTCCGCAGTTCCCTCCCATCATCGATTTGGTCAAGCATCGCGTACTTCCTGGGGAAAACATGCGCTGTCTGGAATGAGCCTAGCTCGTAAAAGTTCCTGCCCAGGCGCATGCCGCACATCCCGCCTCTGCCTTTGGAAGTCTTGGCTTTCTCGAGGGCGAATCTTGAGAATGGCGGCCTCCGGAGATCGCGGACTCGAAGATACTCGGAGAAACGCAGTGCGGTTTCAGGGGACAGACGTGGAGAAGATACTATATTCATCCTGACGTCGGCGATCGAGTTCGCTCGACAACAAAGGAAAGGAATGCTGGCATGCTTCCTGGACTGTTCGAAAGCGTACGATCGAATATCCCGCACGAAGCTATGGGAAAAACTGGAAGACCTGTGTATGAACACCAGTTGGATCAAGGTGATAAAGGCGATCTACTCCAATAATACCTCGATGAGTCTACGGACGAACGTGGGTCTCAGACAAGGATGCCCGATGTCACCGATACTATTTGCGCTATACGTAGCGGACCTGGAGACGGAGCTGATGCAATCAGGTTGTGGATTCGAGCTGTCAATGATTATGAATGATACAGGAATCGCGAACCCAAAGATACCAGGACTTCTCTACGCAGATGACCTGGTTTTGATTGCACACACCTACAAGGAAATGGAGAAACTCCTCCGCATTACCACGAAGGTGGGTGCGGAGAGAGATCTCATGTTCAACCCAAGCAAGAGTGCAATGATGATATTCAACGCAGAGAGGCTTGGTGAAGTAGCCCACTGTGAGATTCAGGGGCAAGACATCGAATTTCGAGATACAGTCGGACCCGCTCAAAAGAGATACGCATATAAGAGACTTACGCTGATAAGCGACAGATTCTATTCCCCAGTTTCCGAGCCCATTAAAAAATTCGCGTATAGGAGACTTGAAAACTCGCTTATAAGAGAAACTCGCTCATAAGAGACTCGTCAGGATTCCCCTTCTCATAGGATTCCATGTTGAAGGATTCGCTTTTAAGAGACAGGTCGGAGCACTTTCACTACGAAACGATTTTTTCCCGATTGCGACTGCTTTTTAGGCCTTCTAGACGCGCCTTAGGCTAACGTACGCGGGCCCGTGAAGAAAGGTTCATCATTTCCAACTTCCAGCCATTTCATCCGCGATTGGGTGTTTCCGCGCATAAGAGAAACTCGCTTATAAGAGACTTTTCACGGTTCTCCAAGGTCTCTCTTATAAGCGGGTCCGACTGTAGCTATAAATATCTGGGAATTACCCTCTGTGATCAACCGAACTACCTACTCCAACAGGAACTGAACTGGAAGAGGGAGGCAAGGAAGGCTAAAAACAATTGCACGCCCAATGTTTATGGACCTTTAACAGATTCGAAATCACACGAATACAATGGAAGGCAACGGGAGTACCGAGACTCACATACGCGAATGCGGTATGAGCGTCTCGGGCCTCAAACCAAATGACGGCTGAATTCGAAAGAATTCAGACTGCAGTTGGAAAATGGGCACTGGGAATAAACGAATATTAAGTTGCGAACGAGTTCGTACAAGGCGAACTCGGGTGGTCAACCTTCGAATCGAGAGAAGCGCAGAGCAAAATCCGATATTTCGCGAGAATAAGCGCGATGGAGTCCGACCGATGCCCACGCATGAAACTGTCCATGATGGCCACAACGAAGATAACGACAGCAGTGCTCAGAAGAATGCGCCACCTCAGCGATAAATACTCATGCGGAAACATACCGATAGTATACACAGAGGACCTCAGACCGAGAATGAATCTTTTCAATAATACGGTGAAGAAACATATTAGAGAAAAGATGGAAGAGCTGTGGAGAGAGGGAATAAACTCTGAACCCAGCCTGGAATTGTACAGCATATGGGAGGATACAGCCACCCTTACATATATGGACTATATAGAAATAGTCGAGGGAGCGCTCTGTTAGCCCTAGCAAGAGCAGGGATGCTACCGACGAGGTCGCATAGAGCGAAGCACCAACGGATCGAGCCGCACTCTTTGAAAAGTGGCTTAGACGAAGAAACCATTCCTCACATTATGACGGAATGCACTCCTCACCACTTCGATATTGACGAACAGGCTAGAAGATTGGGCTTCACTGAACAAAGTGACGAAAATCTCATGAGGAAAACGAGAAGACTGCTGGAAGAATGGGAAAGAGAAACCCGAAGGATCTGCTGAGAAATCCCCTGAAACAGGGTCTCATGCCTATATGTATTCGTTCTGTTTACGCTACTGCTGACACCCCATCTGGAATTCGACTATACGATGGACTTCGAATATTGAGGTCACAGGCGGAAGTTTTTATCGCGACCGAAAGAGTCGAGGAGATGAAGGTGCTGAGGAGTCGGAGTCTGCTCGCGTGACCCGTTCGAGCGTCGACCGCTCGAGGAAGAGTAGAGCTTTTCCTGCAAATGACTCCTCACGACTGGCGCGGATCATTCTTCGACATCGGTGCTCAGAGAATCCTCGCCACTGGTATCGAGAGTCTCGGAATGAGCCTCCAACCATGAAAAGTTGGCATCTATTCTCCCAACAAAAGTGTATTATGATACGCGAATAAAAGGTCTGGGGTAATAATGGGCATGCTTCGGGGTGTAATCTCCCACTTTACATTGAAGCTGATTCTTCCAAGAGCGATATTCGAGTTGTGGAGTTCGGCGTAGCGGAACCAAGCCCTCTGCTGCCAAATATTTCAAAGGTGACTCGGTGCTACTGAAGTTCCCAGAACATTTTCCCTCCATGCCCCCATGCTGTCCGGAGCTCCTCATGCTTGGATATGAATGGAGCACGTTGATGCTAGCGACCTCCACGGAGGCCTCATGGATGCATAGGCTCCCGTCTCCAAACCTTGAACAGCCTAATGGGACAGTATTTCTATCGAATGCATGCATGTCAGAGCATCTAGGGCAGGGGTGTCGAATCCGTGGACAGACGAGTTTCCCTCGATCCCCGCAGGATGGAAAAGCATTCTTCCATGAACGATAGGCATACATTCTCTTTTTACACGAAAGTAAATTCTCAATGTGGCCCGTGGGCACCTGCGGCGCTCGAATGTGGCCCGCCAAAAATTTGAGTCCGACACTCCTGATATAGCGAGACTTCCCGCAGACTTTTTCAACAAACCGGGGGCGCGGAGCTGAGATTTCCGACTCACAGGCGGTCGAAGGAACATCTAATTATACGAATGACCGGATCCGCGAATCAGCGCTTCCTCGACAGGGGAGGTCCAGAGCGGAGGATCCCCAGGGGTGAGCTAGATACTCAGCCTCTGTGCTCGAGCAGAGACAGGGATCTGCGTAGGGAAAACGGTGAGAGGCGCTTCCGAAAGAGACCTCAATTTCCGAATTTGCCGCGGGGATCCGTCCAGCCAGCCTAGCCACCAGGCGCAAAGAGCTTCAGCGGCTCTGACTCGTCATATTCGCCAGACACTCGCTAAAAAATGAGCGGGAACGCATCAATCCTGGAGGCTCGCATAAGCCTGTTGTCGAGCATTTGATGGGGACTGCTTTGAAACTTGAAGTTCGCTCTCCGACGAGCACCAACAGATCAGCTGTTCGCGCACATAAACAAGAGAGATCGGCCGACCGGTTGTTCCCTCTCCGTTGAGAGCCAAGCAGTACTGTCACCTGTCTGGTTCGCCGGATGGTCAGCCATCAAGGAGGGTATCCAATCGTAGAATTCCACCGCCTGTTTCCAAACAGCGACGCTGATCTCAAAGAGTGACATTGAGAGCAAGTGACTTGCACCGGCAGGTTCCCTCCTATGTCAAACATGGCTATGAGATTTTCGGGGAAAGTCGTTTTGATCACCGGTACGTCAACTTTAGTGGCCTGAGCGTTCTATTCCTGCGATCGTGGGGGTGTCGTTTGATATTCAATTATGATGCTCCAAAATCCAAACCGTACCGAAGTTACTAGCGCTGAAATTAGTTCATCATTCGCTCAGGCGCCTCGTCTGGTATCGGATTCGGAGCCGCACTACGCTTCGCTCGGGAGGGAGCTAGGCTAGCTGTGACTGGACGCAATAAGGACGCCCTACAGAAGCTAGTTTCGGAATGTGAGAAGAACGGCTCGAACAAAGATTCGGTCCTACCAATCGTGGGAGATATCGGCGACGATAAATTCCGCGAAAACCTGATTGCTAGCACCGTCAATAAGTTTGAGCGAATCGACGTGCTCGTCAATAATGCAGGTAAGTGAGAGCAATGATTCTTGACGGATATTTCCGCGGAAAACCTCCCCCATGGACCGCGGATTCGGGGGCTCTACGCAGCGCCTCGCACTTTCCCTGCTCGCATGTGATCGGGGGGTTCCGCGGCTCATGGTTCGAGTTGGAACAGAGTTTTCTTTGGTATTGTCTCAACGAAGCGTGCTCGAATAAGGTGTCATCTCTATGGGGAGCTGTGAAGCGATGTCGATGAATGCCTATGATCACATGTTCAACATCAACGTGAGAGCTCCCTACCACCTCACAAAGCTCGCCATCCCTCACTTGAGGAAGACCAAGGGCAATATTGTGAACGTCTCGTCGGTCAACGGGATTCGATCTTTCTCTGGAGTCTGTGCCTACAACATGACAAAATCCGCCCTCGATCAATTGACGAAAACCGTTGCTCTCGAGGTCGCTGCCGACGGGATCCGAGTCAATTCTGTCAATCCGGGAGTCATCATAACCGGTGAGCGAGCGTGGGTTTTTCCCCCTGTGTGAATTCGTGAATAACTCAACGATAGTCCCGCATGGGATTTGATGATCTCCCATGAGTTCACGATGAATTATCACCACCTTTCGCAGAGCTGCAGCGGCGCGGAGGATTGGATGAAGAGCAATACGCAATGTTCTTAGAGAACTCCAAACGCACTCATCCCTTGGGAAGGCCTGGAAACGTGGAAGAAGTTGCTTCTTGCATCGCGTTCTTGGCCTCCGATGAGGCATCTTTCTGCACCGGCAATCTACACAGCGTCGACGGGGGACGAGGCGTGCTCGGGGTTCGCTAGACGGACGTCGAATGATCCAAAAGCCCGCCTTCCGATGGGGTCGGCACAGGGGCTGCCGGGCTGTGACTACCTATATTTCCCAAAGAATAAAGTCTTATGAAGCTCAGACAATTATTGCCTTCAAAGCTGAACGACTCCTCTGGTCTCCGTGGTGTGTATCATACAGAGCTTGTTCCGTAAATGGGATGCGTGACCAAGACATACATATATACAGAGTCATATCACTGGTGTAGAAGTTGAACGATATTATCGTACTCTCGTTGCTTCTCAGCCTGTTCGAGCTTGATATTCTGTAAGAGTGACTGGAATCTCTGCCGCAGAGCCATGTTCTCGATATTGGCGATCTCAGACTCCTGCTGACGGCGTTGTTCCTGCGGAGAGATATGAAATTTGAGCATCGCATCAGACCCACGGAATGATCCAGCTCGACGTAGGCTCTCTAATGCAGGGACTCTACTCAAGCGATGATTTCAACACGTTGGGTCCTCTCACCGTCAGTCGGATCATGTCCCGATCCAGTTCTGCGAGTCTCTCATGATAGGCAGTATTCTGTGACACCTCGTCGTCCTTGGGGAAGTCGCTTTCGAGAGCGCGAGCAGCTTCAGCTTCTTCCTCGTATCCCTGCTGCAAACTCGAAGGTCCCGGCGCAGACATGTTGCTTTCCTCGCCCATGTTCTCATTGAGCATATCCGAGAATTCAGAGGCTGGGAAGGAAGGAAATCGATGATATTTTTCGATGAAGACAAGTTTCACTTTCGATATGAGTTCCTACTCCATTGAATTCCTCGAGATGAGTTTGTGCTAATTTTGAAAACGATACCTTGAGAGAATTGTGTGACGAGGTCCTTCGCATCGCTGCTCTTCGTCTTTTTCAGGGGACTCCTCGAATCATCGGTGGAGTCGACATTGACATTCAGCTGCTCTCCCTCCTCGTCAGAAGACGACAGGGGTTCTCCAAAGAGATCGTGCTCACCGACGTCCATGGTCTGATCGCCTAGGCCGCTCGGACCTAGAATACAATCGAGAACGGGACGTCAAATTCGACGCTTCCCCACGGGGGTTTGAAGGAATCACTGGGGCTTCGAAATCACACACTTACCCTGGTGATCAGGTCCTGGATGATTGGTCACCTCAATTGCTCCTTTGCCATCAGCTTTCATTTCATCTTCAGCACGTATGACTTCATACCGCACGCTTTCAGCTTCATTGTCCTGTCACGGCGAAAAACGGAATGAGTATTCATTCACACACCGAGCCTGAAAGCCTGGTGGCGATATCGCGTGATATGTAGCTCTCCCAGCCTCCCAGCCGGGAGCTCACCTCTCTGAACAGGCGCTTGACTTCCTTCTCGATTTCCGGGAAATCGATGATTTTTTTTTGTAGCGTCTTACGGAAACGTCTCTTGCGGACATTCTTCAACGGAGGGGTGATCCCATGAGGATAGAGATATTTCTTGGTCAGAGCGTCCTTCCTCTTACGCAAAGGAGCTTCGTCTTCTGACTTCGGTTCTTGTCCTGAAAGGAATAATGGTTCATTGATTCGATGAATCTTCGATCGCAAACTTGAGAAATCGATGTACATCGTAGGTGGGATCGACTGCACTATCATACCGGGCTCATAACAAATCATTATCTGGGAGATATCCGCAGTTTTGTAGAAAGTCTTCCTATCCAGAGTTTTGTGCGACTCGATCACGCATGGTAAGTCGTAGACCCGGGCGGGGAGAAGCCATGAATCGAACCTGTGACAGAATCAATAATAATTGTCGTCGCTTTCAGGCTCTCGGAGGCTCGCTTACCGAAACGAAGAGAACTTACCTTACGCTCCCAACACGATTATCACTCTCGAGTTTTATGGCGAGTCGGTCTTTCAGGTTGCTATTCCCCTGACGAACCGCTTCGCGGAGGTCTCCGGCTACTTCAGGCGGAACACGAAGCACGAATTGAGATTCGAGCTCGAACATCGCTTCCGGGCGATTTTTCGTCATGTCGGAGCTGGCGAAATCTTCGTGAAAACCGGAGCCGAGTTCTTCACTTCGAGCTCCGCGGTATCTATCTTGCCGCGTAAGTTTGCGCAGATGTGCTCCGAATCGGGGGAAAAGTACAGTAAACAATGTTCGGCAGCAGCTGATGGCAGGAGCGGAATTCACGAGACGGGTCCTCCTCACGCCTGGCGGCAGACGATGGGTGTGTAAACACCGCGGGCTTCATGGATAGAGAGCAGACGACGCGTCGGGGGTGGGCGCGCGATTCAGAACGTCGAGACACTGCCTTGGACTTTGAGACGGTACTGTAGTTTCAGATTTCATCATCTTCCATTGAAGTCTTTTTAGGGGAAGGACCTTCGTATGAGGAAGCTTCCAGACTCCAGGGAGCTCTCGATCATGAGGTCGGATCTCGGCCCGCATCGATGACGGTGAAACGTAACGGCATTGGGCCAATATTGGGGGCTCTCCCGTCTGCCCAAGTGTCCGCCCAACCTGTGGTGCCGACAACATTCGACGGAGAAGGGTCGCCCTTCCAGATTCCGAGGTACACCCAAGTCGAATCGACTCTGTTGGAAGCCTCCAGTGGTCAGACATACGGGACCGAGCGTTTCCGTTGACCCAGACAAGCCCGGATCCGTCATCACGTTTCGAGAAGCCCCTCGCGCGTTTCCGAAGGCCCGGTGTCACGACATGTTCAAAAGGTGACGAGAGCGACAGGAGGAACGTCGCTGCTCAACGAAACCTAGGACTACTTGATGAGGGAGATGAAAGTCCCAGGAGAAAACGACAGTTTGTACTTCCTGCAGTATCTTTAGCTTTCTGTTCCCGGAATGGTCTCCGTACTGGGGAAAAAATCAGGAGCCAGCGGATTGCAGTGAAAGTTCGGAGTGATGTAGTCCCGAATCATCACCCTGGCTCCCCGATTTCTAGTTGATTCGTCCGACTCGGAGGAAGAGATCAAACGACCAGCTATACCTTTCGAAGATGATGGAAAGCCTATCGATGAAACGCAAGCTCCACTGACAGGATCAGAGTACCTCAGGAGGGTCCATCGCGAAGCCAAATTATGTGCCAAGGTATGGAAGAGTCTGAAGTCAGGATTGACGGTCATTCATGTTAGCAGCGATGCTTCTCTCCGAGCATCGTGTCGTGGAGTCTCATATTTAATATTTCTGTTGCAAGGTTTGCGTGGCGCAGATCCCGGACTCGAAGCGACGTCCAGTCACGCGACATATCCCGGTAGATGAGAAAGCTCCTCCGCCAGACGGGTTCAATCCAGAAATGGAGTGGCAATTGGCTCGTCTTGCACATTTCTCCGACACTAGACAGCGATTCGCGATCGCGAGAGAATTCTCTAGAGCGAGTCCGGGAAGCAGCTCGAGCAAACTTGAAGCGAGACCTCACTGGTTCAACTATATCCACAAGGAAATGCGGCAACCCCTCGTTTCTTTCGTGACCAGCCTTTCCGGGAAACAAATTCTTAGCGTACTAGGTCAGTAGCTCGCCCCCACATGGAATCACCCGAAGCCCTTCGTGACACGAAATAACTCCGATTCTTCGCAGAGTACCACATTGACTGGATCCAGACAGAGTTCACCAAACAGCACGGACTGTGGATATTCTCGATGCTTGTCGCTCTGGAGAAGCCCCTGTCTCCGCATGCCTGTGATATTATCAGATCTCTGGCGAGATCAGCCTCGAAAGTCAGAGCTCAACTGGACCCATCGAGGACGGAGGATATAATTTCATTGAATTTGATTGTTTGTTTGATATCGCGGTATTTTTCTCAAATGGATCTCTGTGACTGAGGGAACAAAGTTGGAAGCTTCTCATTTAACGAGCTCGACCTTTTTTGACTACGACTTTCTGTTATGGACCGACGCTCTGCGGACTCTACCGAGGAAATTGCCGTCGACTGCCGTCTCAACTCGGAGCCTTCCCGGAGGCTTTCGAACGGGAAGACATAACGAGCGGGATCGATTCTCATATTTCAGCTGTTCTACAGCCAATGGATCGTGAATGTACGTGCTGTCTTGATGAATTTTCCGTTGATTCAGAGGGAAGGGAACGGAAACTCAGTGAATTTGGGAGGGATTCGTGCGGGGATCTTCATCGCATGGGAATGAAGACCCTCCCGGAGCCGTTCCGGGATTCACCTGCCTCAACTATCCCTCCCCTCAATTAGAATCGTCCACCAGACGTATCAGTAAGCATGACGATGTATTAGGGCATTCGTCATGCATGCTATCAGAAACTGCTCGTCCATTCCTCCTATCCTCAAAAATCTGATATCTATGTGATATTTGGAGACTGTTCCCTCATGAGGATATTTGCGAAAGTCTCTTGATTTTTTCCCTTGACTGGACGCCGCGAGAGAGAAGCGAGAAGAATGGATTAGGCGATCGATGTCGCGAAGGAAGAAGAGAGATCGACCACCCTGCATAGCATTCACTTCCCGGCACCCTTGCGGTCAGCCTCTTCGAGTTCCTCCCTCCTTCCCCTGGAGAGATCAATATGACAGGTGACAGGTGGAATCGGAACCTGAGGGGTTGCCCCTCCTACTGGGATTGGGAAGCTGAGGTCGTCGATTGATGAAGCTTCGTATTTTTGCAAATCCACGCGTGGAGCTACCTATTGTTCTGGACATCGCTCTTTTCGGAACGCCCTCCCGCGAAATTAGTCGGTCAGCTGCTGGAGACGAGACCCCGAAGATATTGCATAGACATACACCGGAACCCTAATGTTGTGGAGGGCGCCATGTTTGTTGTGTCTGCAGACACATGCCTGTCCGCGCGCGTTCTATTCGCCGTTGAGGCGGTGCAAGAAGATGAGAGCTCTTAGGAGAAATCCGTGGGGAACTCCCTTCGTGATGTTGCCTCTGTCCCCCACCCATAATTCTTGAAGGTTGACGCCTGCCCGAATGGAATCCTCCCAGGGCTCGGAGAGGTGAGTTTCTGAGCAGGGGAACATTTATGTACATACGGCTCAAGCGAAGGGTCTCTCCTAATACGTTTCCATTTGGTGGAAAAGTGAGACGGCCTTGTCGTGTACGATCCTGATAATCGACAGCTATCAGAGTGAACCATGTCCGAAGCTGGACACGACATTCTCCAGCGCGACGAAAACTCAACTGAAACAGGTGATCATTCGCTCTATCATCTGCTACGTTCGACTTTACAGCGAGTCGCGATGACATCCGCCGTATATCGCGGAAACTGAGGGGAATCGCCTTTCAGGTGCCGATACTTCGAGTTTTCGGGATAGAATCGAGCGGCAAGAAGTGCTGCATCCACATCCACCGCATCTACCCCTACCTGTGCGTGAAGTTCGAGTCGAGTCCTGATGAGCGCCGGAAGGCGGCCTTCGTCGAATCTCTCGAGAAGGCACTCAACGCGCATTCGAAAGTTGCCCGACATCGCATCGTCGAAGCAACTTTCTTCAAAGGAACCAACTTCTACGGGTGAGTTCCTCGATTGATCGATCTAAATGAGCTAAATCCTACCCATACTTTTGCATTTGTGAGCACCCTCTGATGGAAACGCCTTAGCCTTATCTCTCTACCCGTCGCCAGGTACTACGCGAATGAAGAAGTTTTTCTCAAAATCTCTTTCTCCGACCCACGAACACTGAAACGCGCTTCGGAAGTTCTGAACTCGAGTCAAGTTCTGGGATCCGCTATCCGAGTATTCGAAGCACACACACCCTTCCCTCTCCAGTTTATGATTGATCATCAACTCCAAGGCATGAATAGCCTGCGGATCGGGAAATTCATTCCGAGAACCTCCGACCAAGGACCCCCGAAGCAATCTTGTTGTCAAATGGAGGTCGATTGCTTTGTTGAGGACGTGCTGAATCAGTATGAGGAACAAGACATGAACCCTGGCCTGAGGGCGATCTGGCAAGACCCGCGACTCCAGGACGTCGCTCACGCGGACACCACTGTGATCGAGAGGGACCTGGTCCCCAGTGAGAGAGAGCTCTCTTACCGGGCCCTTCTGATGAAGTATCTCGGAGTAGAGGACGTTCTCTCGCAACGCAGCGTCCCCGCTGAATCGGATGAGGATTCGGAGCGAAGCGAGCTGCAGGACACTTTACTCGAGGCAGCCGAGGGGCTCCTCTTCGGCGAAGCTGACTCAATTCTTTTCTCGGGACCATCCGGTGAAGAGGTCGACGACATCGAATCGTTGGAGATGTCTCAAGTCATTTCCGAAGATATTCTGAACGAACAGTCCAAGGCATCTCCGGCGTCTACATTATTCACCGACAGCGAGAGCATTAGCACCCAGCTGATGAATACTCAGACTCTCCTAGAAGAGCTCGAGGACTTGCGGACGGAGGCATCGCGGGCGGGGTTCGATGAGACTGTTGCGAAGAAAGCCCGTCTGAAAGATCAAGATTCGGACAGCAGTGACATGTTCTCCGACGATGACGACACATTGGTGGAAGTGAAAGATAGTGACGACGGGGAGGAGAAGCCCGACCTCAAACCCTCGTTGAAGGAGGAGAGCCTCGTAAGTGAAACTCGATTCGTTCAGTTCGATAAATCCCGATCAGCAGAGGGAATGAACATTATTGAGTCTCGTGGTGTTCCGAATGGGTGTTCGGGCTGATAGGCTGTAATCTCCCGAACATCGTTCCAGATGTCTCAAGCAAAAGCCCCGGTCTACCTGGAATCGAATGGAATGCAGAACGGTTCCCCGCCGAATGAAAAGTCGCACATCAAGGTTCGTCAGCCCCATTTTGAGTCGGCAATCAGGGCGATTCTTCTGTTCCAAACATGATTGTTCGACCGGCTCATGCGGGAAAACCATTCCTCTCGACTTTCTCCTGAACGAATGTCTCCTCTCCAGATTGGCCTCGATGGGGCGTGTATCAAAGAAGAAGCGGAGTCCACCCGAGACTTCGCCGGTAGTTCCAACACGGAACCGAAAATCGAAATCATCAATATCGATAGCTCTCCATCAGAGGCCGAACCCGCCCAAAAATGGGACGTCGTGGATGACCTCCCGCAGCGAGCGATGTCCGATGAAACAAGGCAAGCTCTGAGCTGGCTCTGCAACAGGACTCGAACGAAGAAGCCAAATCAAGTGACATCGCAGGCAAACGAATCTGTGCAAAAAAACACTCAATCCTCCGCCAACGATACCCTCTCGCAGGATTTGCGTTTCGCCTATAGTTTCGGAGCTTCACCGGAAGTATGCGAACGTCACTGCGAGTTGTTGACCTCTCTATGCTGCGAGGTTCATTGTGCAACCAGAGAAAACTTGAAGCCCGATCCTTCGATAGATCCCCTCTTAGCTGTCGTTTTTGTCCTGCATCGAGACTATCCGGGCGAGGGCGAGAAGCTGCAGCTGAAGGTCGTTTATGATGGCTGCGTTGATCAGGTTCCTCTGAGGAGATCGTTGCTGTCCGAGATAGGCGGCATCGCTAGCGTAGAGCTGGTCAAATGCTCTGGAGAGCTGGAAATTATCAAGAGAATGTGTGAAATTATTGTCAAGTGGGATCCCGACGTGGTCCTGGGATACGAGACCGACACGCTGTCGTGGGGCTACCTGATCGATCGATGTCTGGCACTGGAATTAAACCCCAAGCTTTTGTTTTCGAGGGTGGCCATCGAGATGCCGATCGACGAACCCGGCGTCAGCCACACGGTCGAAATGCCACCGGGTGTCAGATTCGATCAGGATAAAGAGCGATATTTCGAATCATGGGAGTATCGACTGACCGGTCGCGTCCTTCTGAATGTTTGGCGAATGATGAGGAAGGAGATAGCTCTAACAAATTATAGTTTCGAGAACGTCTATTACCATATCCTTCATCGACGGGAGCACGTCGTCTCCTGGGGCCGCTTGAGAACGTGGTACGAAGACCCGCTCCAGATGAGCAAATGCATTTCGTATCTGGCTAAAAGATGTGCGGGATGCTTCCATTTGATCGAGAAACTGGAGCTGTATACGAAAACCTGCGAAATGGCTCGCATTTACGGCATTCAATTCTATGAAGTGCTCAGCCGGGGTTCGCAGTTCCGTGTGGAATCGATGATGCTCAGGTCCACACGAAAGAAAGGCTACGTCGCGTTTTCGCCCACCGTTCTCGACCGGAGCTTGCAGCGTTCGCCGGAGTGGATCCCGTTGGTCATGGAACCTTATTCTAATTTCTATACCGACCCTCTTGTTATTCTGGATTTCCAGTCGCTGTATCCGTCATTAATGATCGCCTATAACTACTGTTTTTCAACGTGTTTCGGTAAAGTACAAGATATCATCAAGGGCAGCGGCTCCATAAAATTTGGATGCGGCGACCTGGCCGTGGACGCCGAGGAATTGAAGCGACTCAAAGACGATATAATCATCTCGCCGTCGGGATCTGTTTTCGTCAAAAGCCATATTCGGAGAGGTATCCTCCCGCGACTCGTCGAAGAAATTATAAACACGCGATTCATGGTCAAAAAAGGCATGAAAAAATCAACAAGTAAATCCTTCAATCGGATTCTAGACGCTCGTCAGCTGAGTTTGAAGTTGATCGCCAACGTGACTTACGGTTATACGTCCGCCAGTTTCTCCGGCCGCATGCCTCTCGTCGAACTCGCGGACGCAATCGTCAGTAAGGGCAAGGAATCACTCGAAACCGCAGTGAAGTTGGTTAACACCACTGCGGAATGGGGTGCCGAAGTCGTGTACGGGGACACGGACAGCATGTTCATCCTCCTGCGCGGAAAGACGAAGAGCGAAGCTTTCAAAATAGGATACGACATCGCCGAAAAGGTGTCGGCAATGTTTCCCGACCCCATGAAGCTCAAGTTCGAGAAAGTATACTATCCGGGTGTTTTGGAAACAAAAAAAAGATATTTCGGATACATGTATGAGTCCGAGGACCAAGTCGAACCCGTTCTGGACGCTAAAGGCATCGAGCTCATTCGGAGAGATGGCTGCAAAGTCCAACAGGTGATCTTGGACAAAGCCATTCGAACGCTCTTCGACACTAAGGATTTCGGAGCGGTGAAGAAGGTCATACAGAAGAGCTTCGAGCAAATTTTCAAAGGTAAATTCGGCTTGCATCGCTTCATGTTTGCCAAAGAATACAACGGGGCTTCTTATTACCAACAGAACAGCTGTGTGCCGGTTCTGAAAATCGCGCGACAGTTGAAATCCGAAGATCCTCGAGCTGAACCGTTGGTGGGCGAACGAGTTCCTTACATTGTCACTCAGGGTTGGGACAAATCGCGCATCATAGATCTAGTCGCTCATCCGAAGAAACTACTGGAAGATTACAGACTGCGCCCGAATTACACGTATTATATCCTCAGAATAGTTTGCCCTGCCCTCGATCGGGCTCTCCTGAAAGTTCGCACGGCGGAATGGTATCACGAGTTACCTAAGGTCCTCAGAATTTCTCCCATGAAGGAAGGAGCGAGAAAAACCATGGTATACGAATATTTTGATGTGAACAGGTGCGCTGTCTGCGATAAGTCCGGTCAGTGTATCGATCGAGTATGCGACCTTTGTAGAGCCAAGCCGCAAGTTTCAGTGTTCATAAGCTTGGAGAAACTGCGCCGCCACGAAGATGATCTTAGAACGGTTCGAGATCTGTGTTCGCGATGTATGATGAATCGCGAGGAAGATGTCAACGAGTGCATTTCCATAAATTGTCCCGTTCTCTTCAGGAGAATAGCGCTCCGAGAAAAACACGACGCCGCACAAGAGTTGAGTATGATTCAGTACATGTTTTAACCCTCTAGATTATGTAACGTAAATTTTAGTCTTGAATAAAACATCGCGGGCTATTTGCCGTGCGACTGGAAGCTCCGTCTCTCTCTTCCCGTCGTGTGAGGCTCGACTCGAATCCGCATTGGGTCGGACCTGAACAATCGGTCTCCTTGCGGGGAAAACCGATAGACCTCGATCAGTCCCAGCTCCCTGAACGGGACCCGAGATCCGAATCATTTGTTGATTCACGCTCTTCCGAGCTTTGGCATCGCTTGTGAGGCTTCCGGCGACGCTTTCGCTTCGTCATGGCCATTACTCGTTGGATGAATTATGAAATTTTTGTGGATGGAGAATTGAATCTAATGACAACCATCAGAAGGGAGCCATTTTGTTGCGCCCACACAATGAGATCTTCAGACCCTCAACACCTGGCCAGCAGCTCCGAGCTGAATCGCGCGGTAGCCTTGAGAGAATTGATCCTTCGTCTCGAAGTTTTATGCGTTCCTATCTCAATTCATTGCGTAGCGCCGAACATCAAGAATGAATTCGTTTACTTTACGGTTATGCGAAGCGTTTCTGAAAACGTTGAGATCCGTACGATACCCTCGCGACCGACCGGACGCGGAGTGTTTGATGCTCGCGTGAAAGCGGGCGCCAGACACCGGGTTGTGTTAAATGCCCCGGTTACCTATTTACATACAACACACGTTGTCTCGGATCCATCCACTATATGTTCTCGATCTCACGTGTCTTCGCTGAGCTGTGACCTCACTCAACAGCGGCCCGGCTGGTGGCGAAAACCATCTTTTCTAGCTTCCCTCGAACAAATATGCAGTTCGTGCCGTAATTTCGAAGAAGTGCGAAGTGATTCCTCATTTTTGTAAGACTTCCAGTCGGGTCATCGGGCGAATTCGCGATCCGGCTCGGAGTTTCGGTCCATCCGTCTTGAGTGATCAACCTTCCCTTAGGGGATTGATCGCTGCGCTATCATTTGCCACTTCGTGATGCCCAATTAGTCGATTTATTGATTATTATTATTGACGATGATGTTTCCTCTTCGTCCGACTGAGACTCGGCCGAATTCTTTCTCTGGTTGTTCTCAGGGTCCGGGAAGGAAAACACAGATGGAACGGTAAAGAGCTTTTGCGTGGCGCAATTTACATTCATTTTGGTGATTTCGAACGATGCTGCTCGATTGAGATCGGGGGCCGGCAGCCTAGTTTGCTCTGAAGGGGAAATTCGGCGATTTTTGTCGGCCTGATCCTTGACCGCGGTCGTGATCCCATTAATCTGTAAAATTCATCCTCCCCGATCATCGTTACCCACAACCAGCATAGCACAAAAAGAGCTTTCGTGCCTAACACCGCCAGCACAACGAGAACGACGGTGTGTGTGTTTACCCTTTAGTCGCGGCATCCGATATTGGGAAGACGTCGGCTCGCTTGTCAAAATACAAGGATTCGCGGGACCGCAACGTATATCCGGTCGTGGTTACAAGCCACGATCTTCGGAATCACAGGAACACGCTTCAACTGAAACGAGCTCTCGGCTTCTGGTATCGCAAACATCATTCATGATATCGGCATTGGGTGGATGATCGTCATCAAATCGACCGTGATCTGTATCAGACCTGCTGATAAGAAACACCAGGAGACGACCTGAACGCTAACCGCCACTTCTCATGTGAAGGGGATAGCTGTCGTGATTTCATTGTAGCGACAGTCCTTACGAAATTTCTTAGTTCTGGGGCGAATGGGCTTGCAGTCGACAATCATGCTCACGAGGGCGGCCAACGTCCTATCGAAGCGAGGCCGATCCATCTGGATGTTTGGACTTCTGTCATAAGGCTGATTTCTTGTTCGGGCGAATTCCGTTCCTACGTACGTTGCCCTCAACAAAGCAGATCCCGATTATGGCTCTTCGCGACAACAGCGGATCGATCAAGGAGACGAAGAGATGAGGTTCTTTTGATCGTCTAAAAAGTTCTGCACGGAAGCATGCATGCACTCACTCGATCGGCTACAACATTGATTTCATCTTCTTTGCATGACATCCTCATCACCGCGACGGCTGAGGTAATGATCCGTATCGGTCTTCGGTACTTCTCGTGAGCCTGTCGCGCTTGGATGCGGATGGATTACTCATTCCGTAAGTGGAGGGAGACATGTAAAGATCATTAAATAGGAAATCGAGCTAGGCTATGAGTCAGGTGACTTGATTATTGCTGTATGGGCGCCGTATAAGTTTGATCACTTATTCGATTCCTTGACCTCATCGGAACGGATCTGGTTCGGGTGAGCTGGCACTATCGCTCGAATCGATTTGGAAGCCAGTGCTGTCGAAGCGTCAACTATCCATCCCGAAGGATGCGAATAGTTCGACGAGAAAACAGCTAATTAAACTAAATAATTCGCAGTGGTGATCAGGCCAACTTCGATGCTTGTGTTCGTATTTCTCCTACCGATATTCCGGGTCAATCCTCCGAAACAGCGGAACAATAACTTGTAATCAAGACATCCGGATTTAGCCAGGGTTGCGGCTGTTATGTACAATTTCGACGAGAATGTGTTCCACGATATGTGCGATAAGAAAGAGGGCCATTCCTTTTCCAATACATCCGATGCTCTCCTCGACAAAATTCCAATGCCGGTGAGAAGTTCCGCGGATTATTACTTCGCTTCGCGTCTTCGCGGTCGGGAATCTTCATGTGGCGCTCGAATAATTTTTGGAAGAACTAGTGGTGTTCGTTATTTCTGCTCGAGTCGCCGAAATGTGACCCGGCGCAGTTCCGATCGTTGAAGGAATGGACTCGCTATCTCAAATATGCACTGTCGATCCCTTACGTATTTTCCTTCAAGGTCGAGATGACCACCGCAACCCTGTGAGTCGTCATTCGTCATTGCTGATGACGAGCGACGGTCGGATGGCATCTGGGTTTTTGCAGCACTGACTGAGTCAAATGGCTCTAAGGCATCCAGGGGAGACGCATTGAAGGGAATGGTCGATGATCGCTCAAAAGATACCTCTATAATTTCGAATATAATTGGTCCTAGGAATAGTGAAAACCGAGCATAACAATTCCTTTTATTTGTCCTCCGGGATATTCTGTCGAGAGGACGCAGTGGTCATATGGGTTCAGTTTCGACTCAAGACTCTTGAGTGAATGGATTGCTCTAGTGGTGGTCACAACGGAGGAGTAATTCGGCAGACAAATCTAGTGCGCTTCCATTTGATAGTAGTGTCTTCGATTCTCTAGCGCGGGGTGTTCTTGTTTTGACTGTGAATCCGAAGGTCCACAGAACCGTGTGCTTTCCCTATGGCTCTTGATGGCCAGCGGAGAAAATCGCCGTGATGATCGGTATGCGGCCGTTAGCATCACATTCCTATTTGACTGCCAATTAATCTAGATATCGATCGGGCTCCCTGTCACTCACGCCTTCGCGTGAACCATCGTCCTTGTACTCACGCCGGCTAACGATGTGAACAGGCGTTAGCAATTTTCTTAGAACTGAATGCTCCTCGAAGTAGAGTCAGCCCGTGCGCAATCACATCGTTGTTCGTTCGTTGTGGGGGAATTTGAAACAATTCGTCCTCCTATGACTTGCCCCGTATCGACTAGCGGGACCGTGAATGGTTGACGAGTCGCGACGCCAGGGAAAGAAATTCCTCCATTTTTGTCATGCAAAACAATACTCTGCAATAGTATCAGTCATTGACTTCAGGTCCGCCGGTAGCCAGTGTCGGATTAGCGATCGAGGGGAGCTGAGCTGAAGACGGAAATCGAGGATCACCTGCGCTAAAAGTTTCTACCTCGAGATCGGACTGATCGCCGAAACAGATTTGATGGAGATCCTTGGTCAAGCCCGAGATCCGCTTCTTTTCTCTCCCTCGATGGGCTTTATGGGGATATATGTATAGTTTCGTAACTCCGGAATCAGATGCATTCGTAGTCGAACAGCCTGCAACGTCTCCCGTGAACACTCAATTATTCTGGAGAAATCATACAGTCTCTATGCCCATTATCACATGTAACGCAGAACCCGGGAGGAATATGTACACGGAAAATCATGTCGTTCCCTGATCCGACCCGGCGCATTCCGAGTCTATCTTGATATATGTTGCATGGGTGATATAAAATTCGGGGAAGACGATTGTCGATGCTATATGATCGATCGTTTGATTTCGATGCTTCATGGCAATTTCACTTTTCGCGGATGTGACGCAATTGCCAAACTAGTGGAGCATGTCAAAATTCACACTGGACACCGAAATAGTGGATGTTTCACTTTCTTCTACATAACGCAAGAGATGGACGGAAAAACTCGGGACTGTGACGTTCGGTTTTATAGTGGAAACAAAAAGAAATACCCTTCATAATGAACCCTAACAATCGTTGTTGATACGGTTTCCAAGGAGTTTCGTTAGAAATCTTTGTGTATTCACTTGCATTGAAAATCTGAATAGTTTCAGATGAATGAAGGGTATGATCATCGATGGCAGAGGAATCAGCACCGAAAATCTAGGCGTAACGGAAATGCGGATCGAGATCGTTTGCAAGGCGTGTGCTTCCGGGCCAAGTACTTCTGTCGGAACTCAAAGTTCGATTTTCGAGAATCAGTGTCCCTTTCTCAATCCTCTGTTCTTATTAGTTGGACAGGGGGAAAAAACCGAGCTTTCATGGGCTTTGATTCAGACAGCTGTATAGTGAGCATGCGAGGGAGATCGCAAAGAGGATAGGGATGATTCTGGGAAGCTTCTCCTCAAAATTTCCGGTTTGTTCAGCACCAGCTGGGTTCCTCTGAGTGAGCAATTCCTGGCGTGGGGACAAACCCCAGGTGAGAAATTTTGAAGTTCCACCCCATAAACATTTTTTATTAGGGTGACATCACTTTATTGTGGTGTCCTTAGCGCATTGTTTACAGTGACAACCAAATTGCATGCGGGACGTATGTTTCGCATGGGACAGAGTCGCTCACTTAAAAAGCATTATTCATTCTGAGTCGCGGGCTCGATTGCCGTAATCAGGGTGCTATCGCAAGACCCACGACAAAAAGACAAAATACGAACTCCTACGAGAGAAAAGACCTATAAT